AGAGAACAGAGCCACTGAGGACTAACCCACAGCCTGGTCTGCAGAGAACAGAGCCACTGAGGGCTAACTAACCCACAGCCTGGTCTGCAGGACAAGTTCCAGGCTAGTCTGCGCTTACATGGTGAGACCCTATTTCCAAAAAAGCCTAAATAAATAAAATAGAGAGAGGCATTTAACAATAGTGTGTTTATTTTAAACTGAGTTTCCAACTAAAACATTGTTGCTACAACACTTGTCCTTTTAAAAACAGAGTATCGAGTGTTATCAGAAGGCAGAGCCGGCTCCTCATACCTACCACCCCCGCTAGGACTACTTACTGTCTTCAGGAGATTTGAGCTCTAACTGCTTTGTTCTCCTGCTGGGTTTCTTTGGCCAGTTTTTAAAAATACAAGTGGCTTTAAATTTGCATGTCATCCTTGGGCAGGGGCCATGCTACTCTTCTCTGTACGCTTTCTATTTTAGGATATGTGCTGCCCAAGCGGGCACTTTGCTGTTAAATACCGAGTCTGGCTATGTTGCCCAGATTAGCTCTGAATGCCTGGGTTCGAGAAATCTCTTTGCATCAGCCACCCAAGGAGCTGGAACCACAAGGGTGCACTACTGTACCTGGCCTTGATAGACAACTGTTCAGCGACAGAGCAACCTAGAAAAAATGGGGCGCAGGGGTGCACACCTTTAATCCCCACACTCGGGAGGCAGAGGCAGGTAGATCTCTGGGAGTTCAAGGCCACTACAGAGTGAGATCTAGGACAGCCAGGGCTCCATAAGAGAGGGAGATCCTCCTCAAGAAACCAAAAACAAAACAAAACAAACAAATAAAAAAAAAAGAGAGATGATATTATAGTTACTTAATGAAAAGTTTTCTTTCATTGTAAAAAAAAAATGTTCATGGCAGATGTTGATCAGTAATACACATAAAGGGGGCTGGAGAGATGGCTTAGAAGGTTAAGAGCACTGGCTGCTCTTCCAGAGGTCCTAAGTTCAATTCCCAGCACCCACATGGTGGCTGACAACCATCTGTAATGAGATCTGGCGCCCTCTTCTGGTGTGCAGACATACATGCAGGCAAAACACCATATACATAATAAATAAATAAATCTTTAAAAAAAAGTAATCCACATGAAGGGAGAAGAAATCAACACACCTTCTTTGATGTCCCAGGCATTCTTAGACCACCGTGGTGGATGTAGTTCAGGTTCAAGACAGGTGTCCCCAAGGAGAGCTGCACAGCATCCTTACACAGGAGCCAGAACAGCCTGGCTAGAGGGTTGTGTCCCCACCCCAGCCCCCTGGACATTGCCAGCCCTGGAGAGGAGGCAGGAGGATCAGGGTTTCGGGGCCATTCTGAGCTACAAAGAGGCCAGTTGGGGATACCTAAGACTGTATCTCAAAAAAGTGTGTGTGTGGGGGAACAACACATTTAGTTTAGGGAACTTGCTTTGGTTTTTGTTGTTTCAGAAGCTACAGAAACTTTATATTATAGTTTGATTGATCCCCAATGGTGTAGAGGCTGGAGAGATGGCTCAGTGGTTAAGAGCACTAGGCTGCTCTTCCAGAGGACCTGGGTTCAATTCCCAGCACCCACATGGTAGCTTACAACTGTCTGTGATGGGATTCGATGCTCTCTTCCTGTGTGCTGATGTATCTGCTGACAAAGCCCCTGTATACAGAACATTCATAAATAAGTAAACCTTTCTTTGTTTTCTTGGTTTTTGGTGTTTGGAGACGGGGTTTCTCTATGTAGCCTTGGCTGTCCTGAAACTCAATCCTTAGACCAAGCTGGCCTTGAACTCAGAGATCCACCTGCCTCTGCCTCCCAAGTGCTATGGTTATAGGTGTGTGCCACAACTGCCCAGCCCAATAAATCTTTTTTAAAAAGGGAAGGAAGTAAGGAAAAGAGGAAATAAAGGAAGAAAGGAAGGGAAGAAGGAAGAAAGAAAAGAAAAGAAAAGAAAGATGGAGCAAGGCCAGGTGTGGTGGCATACACCTTTTTAATCCCAGACTTTGGGAGGCAGAGGCAGGCTGATCTCTCTGTAGAGAGACTCTGTAGATAGATAGATAGATAGATAGATAGATAGATAGATAGATAGATAGATAGATAGATAGAT